GTCAACATTATAAGGGCTGACTGGTAAGTGGAATCTAAGCAGTGAATGTCCTATATTATGAGTCATCACTGACTTTTAAATTCTACGATTGGAATCCAAGCATCTGTTTTGTCAGGGACATGTAGAGTTTGAACTAGAAAGTGTTTTTTGAAGAAGGGAAAAGTATTACGGACCAAGACCCTGGTTCCAGGAGCTGTTGAAATCTCCTAGAAGACTCTGTTCAAAATGTATACTTTTCAGTAAACTAAACAGCTACAATGAGGAATGAAAATGTGCAAAAGCATCACAAAAAATTTACTGCTGCTTCTGAATCCATTACAGAAAACCCCAATATTTGGGGTGATTGATTAGAAAGGGTCCCCTGCTCTTTGTATTCTGATGGATGCCTCTGCCTGCCAGGCAGTGTGGAATCTGGCTTCACTCCAGGACTGCAGTTGAAACAAAAATATCCTTCAAAACTCAGTTTGGGTGGGACTTGCCACAGGCTTTGGTTTGGTTTGGAACTTTCCAGTAATGCCCAAAATAATTTGACCTGAGCCACACTGGCCAAGGACCACCACCACCGCTAACTCTGGGAGAACTATCTGGGAGCAGGCTGAGGCTTCCTGGGCTGACCACCCAGAAGAGAAGTGGAGAATAACTGGATAGATGAATGAAAATGGGAGTGAGAAAACAAGGGGGGGGGGGCAGGACTTGTTGAGCCTTAAGAAAACAGGCCTTGGCAACCAGGCCTCTGTCCCCTTGAGAGGAGACTACACCACCAACTAGGAAGTACTCTAACCAAGACATTAAACATGAAGTTGGTGGAGTCTCTTGAGCTAGCTACACTTTCACAGGAAACTTGGGAGGGAGACAAAAGATTATGCTAAATGACACCCCAGGAATGCAATCATCAAAGTCATACAGAAATCTCTAGAGGACAACTTGGTCCCTTAAACAAATAAGTTGCATTCTAAAAAAGAAAGGTTTTAAGGAAAGAAAAAACATTGAGGGAAAATCTATAAATTAAAATGCATTAGCTGGGCATGGTGGCACACGCCTATAATCCAGCTACCCGGGAGACTCGGTGGGGAGGATAACTTGAGCCCAGAACATCAAGACTAGTCTGGGCAACAAAGCAAGATCTGTCTTTAAAAAAGAATTTTTAAAACATGCATTGACCTTATTTGAATCCTGATTCAAACAGTGAAAGAAAGAGGAAGGGAGGGAAGAAAGAGAGCAGAGAGGAGGGGGAGAGACAATAGAAATGCTTATTGTTTTAAGCAACTCAACTTGGGGGTAATTTATTACTCAGCAATACATAATCAATACAGAAATCCACACTGAAAAACATATAAGTGAAGATGGAAAAGCAAGAAAAAGAGAAGTCATTCTGGATTACAGCAGATTTGGGGTCAAATTCTGGATCAACAACTTGCTAAACTTGGAAAAGTGACTTGGGCACTCTTTGTTAAAATTGGAAAAGTGACTTAGGCATCTTTTAATTTGTAAAATGGAGATAACCATGGCTAATGCCCAGGGTTATTGTAAGAAAGCAAAGAGAGAATACATGCATTATATAAGTGCTTAGCACATTACCTTGCACAAAATAAACAAAAAGTTGGCTAGCAGCTATTGTTTATATAATCATGATTAGCAGTGCTCATTCTAAATTAGCCTCCTTGGCTGGGCATGGTGGCTCATGCCTGTAATCCTAGCACTCTGGGAGGCCAAAGAAGAAGGATTGCTTGAGCTCAGGAGTTAGAGACCAGCCTGACCTGAGCAAGAGCAAGACCCCATCTCTATTGAAAATAGAAAAATTAGCCAGGCATGGTGGTGCAGGCCTATAGTCCCAGCTACTCAGGAGCCTGAGGCCGGAGGATCACTTGAGCCCAGGAGTTTGAGATTGCCGTGAACTATGATGCCACGGCACTCTACCCAGGGCAACAGAGCGAGATTCTGTCTCAAACAACAACAATAAATAAATTAGCCTCCTCATCCTCCCAACCCCCCAGAAAAAGAAGACCATATCCAGCAAGAGGCTGCCTCTCCATCTCCCAATAGAAGGCAGCTGGAGTGTGGTCAAAGAGCACAATGAACTGCATTTCCCACCAGTGTTTGCACTGAGCATCTGTGTCTACTTTTTTTGGTCTAAGACTACACTATGCACTGCATATCCCAGTGCAGGGAAACGCACTTGTCCTGGAGCAGGAACCGAGGGGATGTGCACAGGAAAACGAAGCCTGATAATACACTTGGCTTGCTCATATACAGGCTCTGGAATGGCATATTAAATGGGGGTGTGCACACAGAATATAAATATAGGGGGTTTTCCTCTCCTCCATGCAACAGCATGAAAGAGATTGGTTCTGAACTGGCAGCCTCTCTTTCATTTGTCATTATGTTTTACACACAAGGAAATTTTAATGTCTGAAGATGGGGGGGTGATGATAAGAATAGAGTTACATGTGTTTCTCTGGCAGCCCAGTCACCAGCACTTAAATTCACTTCTGACAGTTCTCAGAATCTAAAGACCTGTAAGTACTACACTGTCATCTGCCTATCCATGAGAGATTTCATTTTGGCAGTATTTCAAAAGTAAAATCGCTTGCTTTTTTATGCATATTTTCGCCATAATATTTCTCTAAGCCATGTAAAATCCTGTACTCTCAGGAGACACATACAAAAAGGTTTGTGCTACAGAGTGTTCTAAAAGGAAAATCGCCCTTGTTTCTGAACCTAGATGTATAAAAATTCAAAGGCCTGTGCTAAAATCTAGGATTAAAGGAAACTGGGTGATAGTTTCCTCCACGGGTTTGAGCTTGGTGATTGCAAAAGGCACTTGAATTTGATGATTTCTGAACTACTTAATGGTTTAAAAACTAATGGTCCAGTTAAGACGTGGAAGATGATCCTATTATGTAACAGTTGGCTCTCTTCAGCAGAGCCACTCACTTCTAGAGCTTTCTGACACTGGAATTGGGGAGAGAAAGCCAACTGGCAGCAGTGAATGTAAGATCTTGCATGGTATCAGGGAGGGAGCAAGAGTCAGAACCGGATTGACGTCCGTATCTGCCACCAACCTGCAAAGAGACCCTGCGAAAGTCACTCATATTCACTGAGTGTGTCCGTTTCTTTCACATTTAAAATGAAAGACAGTATGGCGGTTAAGTGGGAGCCCTGGAGAGCCTAACTCATCTGCCCTCTAGTGATCATGTGTCCTGGATAAATGACTTATGTCCTCTAGCCTCACTTTCCTTATCTGTATAACAGAGATGATAATGGCGCCTACCCCAAAGGATTGCTTTGAAAATTAAATCAAAAAATGTATGCAAAATATTCTCAGTGTGTGGCCCCTCATCAGCCCTGGATGGATGAGCTGCTAACTCTGCTGTTGGTATTGTCATTATGCTTCCCTCCCAGACAGTTACAGAGGTATGAGGTTGAGGAGTCAGCCATTAGTAACAAAACACTGCTTGCTGACAACTGAGATGATGGCTGGTCTGAGGATAACTTGGCTTCTAATGGCCTCCACTCTCATCCCAGAGCCTAGAAGAATGCCTGGGGCTTTGGAGATACTCATCAAGTGTGTGTTAACTGAGTGAACAAGTGGATAAATGAATGATGAAGGAATCACTGAACAAATGTCTTGAGAGCTACTGTTGTAGCCTGGCTTGAGGTTCTCCAAGAGCTCTGGCAACGGACTGTAGCCACCAATCACCAAGCACTGCAAAGGGCGCCCAGTAAGGCTCGCTGAGATCTGCTAGTTGCTGGGGGTGTTAGCTAACTGCTCCTATGAGCGAGCCCAGGGCTGGCACTTAGGGGACAGTGCAACTCTCAACAAAGACTGACTGCCCATAGACCTCAAGGACTCAGGCCATTTGCTTGCTCCAGAAACAGCCTTAAAGAGCACACATTTTAACAGTCTAGAAAAGCAGAGTTAGAAACTAAGGGAGACATAAGAAAAACTGGAGGCCAGACAGATCTGTGGGGTTAATGCCACACAGTGCTATCTGCATATTTGGTTTAAGATTCCTTCCCTCACATTCTTTATCTGCTTGGAGAACTGTAAAACTAATGTCTTCAACAGAGCTTGACCCAAAGACAGCCTGTCATTTATCAGAATTCTCCAAATGCGGTGGTTCTGGTGCCAGTTGTGTAATTACCTTATCCTTGGCACCACCTGTGCTGTTATTAACTTAATCCTCCTGTTTGAATCAACTCACTGAAAAAAAGTAAATGAAGTTATTTGTTAATGAAATTTAAACCACTATGTTAAATGAGGAACCAGGATTGCTCACCCTAAATAGGAGTAAAAATAAACACTTGGAAACAAAATATTGTAATTATAATGTAGCTAGCCACGATTGCTTTCCTTAGTTTGGGATCTGAGCATCCCACTTTCCTTTACCCCCAGGGCCCCTCTCTCTCTGTCTCTCTCCTCTGTTAGAAAGGGATGTTAGCATGTAGGCTTTCTTCTTCAGAAAGTCTGAAATACTGAAAAAGAATGAAGAAAAAGAAGTAAGTTTTTCACTAACTGAGTCCATGTTTTTGGAGCCATATCCATGCCCCACGTCAGATCACCAAACGCTTTGAAAACAGGAGATCTCTCTCATGCCCAGATTCTCGGCCACCCTGTTGTAATGGATAGCTGAGTTTATTTGTTCCTGAATGCAATTAAAATACAGTTTTCCTTGGTTCTGAGAGGTACTGCAAAAATGTCTATAATCAGGATGTATCTTAAATTGCCTGGCTTTTATTAGCCACTTTTACTAGTGCTTTAATAGTGTCTTTTCTTTTTTTATCTGGGAAGCTGTTATTAGATTGATGACACATCTCATAATGAGGGTGACTAAGAGTCAAGAAAATATGGTTCACCTGAACAGGGCCAATGTAAATGAGCCTCTTGTTTGGACGCCAAGACAACACAACAGCCTTGCGTTCTCCCAGTTGTGTTCATCTGATAAAGACATTACAATAGCAAGAAATTATGATCTATAACCCTCCACTGGAACACTCACACATTCTTGGCCTTGAATGCTTCAGCAAAATGCTGCACGCTACGGAGCAGAGCGAGGTCCAGGGTCATTGCTTCTACCTTGGCTTTATGCTGGAATGAAAGAAAATAAAAAGAAATGATAAATAACAGCAAGTTTAGTTCATGGTATCAAGTTACAGTAAATGTGTTATGGAATATGTTGGAATTCCCCTGCTTAATATTAGACGCCCAGAGAGAATATAAATCATCAGAATGAATGGAGGAACAAGGCTTTTACTGCCAATTTCGTGGAGGATGTGAGGCTGGGATTCTGCTAAACCTACGGGCTGAGGGTTATGTTTCATTTCGCTCAGCACACAGAAGAGGCACCAAAGGGTCTTCAAGCTCACATTATCTCCTCTCAATCTGTGTCCTAAAAGGCTATAACACCAGGACAAAGCCTGGCTATGCAAATACACAGTGGGCAACATTTTAATCTCAAATGCTGCCATCCAGGTTCTGAAATGTTTCTGCTAAGACTGCATAAAAAATTAAAGGCAATTCATTTATAGAAAGTACAAAAGCAGGCAAGACTCATTTTTACCTATGGACTCTGATGGACCTAGATCCCCAAAAGAACCCTGGCTTAGTACCCAAAAGACACTACAGATAGGTGGGGCACATACTGCTAATAATAATTCTGTTAATAATGGCTACTGTATATTCAGAGCCTATCCTGGGCTAGCCATTTACAGAAACTATCTCATTTAATGCTTACAACAACTAAAAGACAGGCAATGTTTACTTGTGATCTTACAAGAGATCGCAGAACTAAGAAGCTGGCGGCAAGAATGTACCCCAAGTCAGTCTGATGCCAAAGCCCAATTTCTCTCCTGGCAAGAAGCCAAAAGACTGGAGAGCTCAGGATTTGAAGTAATCATGTCCACTAAACACGGTCCTCATTCCATAATTCTGCAAGGATACATCTTAGGGTTGTCCTTCCATCTTGTCTTGTGCTTATAGGCCCCTCCCAACTTTTAAGTCTGGATGGACTTCAGAGTGGGAGGTTAAATACTATCACTACTTAGATCTAGCTCCTCCAAAAGACACAAAGCCAAGAATGCTGGGTCACCTGCCTGTTCCGGTAAGAAGAGTCCCATAAAACAAACAGTTGACTTGGGAATTCTAGTCTAGACTGTGATACTTAAGTAAGACTAAGGAGAATAACATGATACCATTTGGATGCTACGAAGGAGGACATAAATGGCACCACTGAGAACATCCTCTACCTGAATCGTCTCATTCAGGGAAGGACAGGAGCTGTGCTGAGAGGTTCAGTGTATCTGTGGCTGGTTTATCTTGGCCGCCTAAGTCCTGGCCTGTAACACAGTCCTAAGCTTTGGACAATAAACATCAGGCAGTGGCAGCTGGAAAACACACTGACTTTGGGCCATTTAACATTGCTAAGCCTCAGTCTCCTCATTTGTAAAAGGTGAATATTAATGATATACTCCCAGGGTTGTGCGGATAAGTATTAAGCACTTAACATCCTGTCTGGAAGAGAGAAGGTATTTAAAAATTTAACTAGAAGAACAGAATTCTATTGTGCCAAATCCTTGCTCTGATGCCGCTCGGTGATAAATGGTAGTTTGCGTGGGCTACAAAACCACGTGGTGGATAGATTTACATTAATCATGTCCAGAGATCTTCACTGAAGACCACATCAGACCAGATCACTTACTGTTAGATCCTGGAGAATCCCCGTCATACCTACTAACAAAGCCTGATTTTAAGGAAAGGTGGTATAAAGTAATAAAATTATTTCTCCAAACTGTAACCACGTATCAGTGGTGAAGGCACTATTGGCCGATCTAAATTTAAATTCCTAATCTTGGATAATAACGGCAGATGCTCAAATGTGCAGATTCTGGAAGGACAAGGAGAAACATTAACCTGATGCAGGAAAAAGAAAGCATGCCAACCATGGATTTTGTGAGTTTCCTAAGACCAGGGAATAACAGAGCTGCAGAGTGTGCTGTAAGGCAAGGCCACGCCCCTCACCCTATAGGAAGAAAACTGCCAGAAAGAGGAGCAAAATCACAGAGTGAGGACATGCCCTGGGTAGAGTGAGGCACAGAACCCCACATGTGATTTGTCTGAGTAACTGATGTTTATCTGATGGTCAAAAATCTCTCTGGAGTGCAAAATGTGTCAATTCCTCACAGAGATTCTCATGCCTCATAAACATTTTACTACTTAATTTGACGTTCCAAGTTAGCAAACAAAGTGGCCTTCCACCCTCAACCTACCTCCTCTGGTTCCCACCCTACTTCACATGGATATGACACTCACTGCCACAAACAGATTCTTACAGAAATGTGAATACCAAGAGGAGGCAGTAGTAAAAAGACTGTGCCCCTCGGCCACGCCCCCATCAGAAACTATGAGGGGTACACAGGCTACATATTATAAAGATGCTTGTACCCATCCACTCCCCCTCCAAAACCAGGGAGAACATTCCCAGATGGTGACCCCAAAGCAATATTTCAACAAAAATCATAGCATGGCCAAGTAGCCCATATATTATTCTATATATGTGACTTACAATTGGTATGTTTCCTTTGGTTCTCCCCCTTCACTTCAAAATAAAGCACAGAGCTGCCACTACTAATAAGAGCAAAATCAGAACATACACCGCTAAGGGGACGAGAGGTCACAAACCATCAAGTAGTTCAACAGACTAATCCACAAGCTGTGGGTTACTAGGCTCCTGGGGATAGTGATTCCAGTCCACACACCATTATTCAGGTAATTCTCCTGCCCCTGGTATCAGGTTTCCTATTTCTTCTACTGACTGACCCTTAGAAATGCATAACAACTGTATGCAACACAGTAAGTCCAGGGGAGGAAAAATGTAGCTTTTAGAATGAGGGTATATGTATGTATGTATATATGTGTGTGTTGGGGGGTTTACACTTCCAATTGTCTAACAAACTTTGCAGCTCTATAGAAATGTCTGTAGGGGGGTGTGCTCTAAAAGGGGAATGTCCTGGCTGACAGATTGCTAACAGAACCCATTTTTGAGAGCTAAATTGTCAATTGTTTGGTGAGGACAAGAGACCTGATCTGCCAATCTGAGACTTCCTGCCATGTCTGGCAGCCAATCTACATCTCAGCATAATTCATTTTCTTGGTTTAACTCATGAACTTTTTGTTGTTGTTAACTTTTATTTGTAACTAATTATAGACTCACAAGAAGTGGCCAGAATGGTACAGAGAACATTCATAGATCCATCATCCAGCTTCCCCAATATTGACATCTTACATATGCATAGTACTTTGGCAAAACCCCAGAGTCAACATTGGCACAACACAATTTATTAGACTACAGTCATTACTAAGATTTCACCAGTTTGAGGATGCATTTCTTTTCTTTTCTTTGATGTATCTTTATGCACAATTCTATGACATTTTATCATGCGTATAGATTCATATAACCACCACATTCAAGACACAAAACTGTTCTATCACTGCCAAGGAAACCATGACATTCATTAAGAGGTGTTAGAATTAGCACATGCTATCTGAAATGTGACAGGCATTAGGCAGAGCCTGCTCTCTGGATTGGCAAAACAAATAAACAAAACCCCTTTTGTATCTTGGAATGGCCAAAAGGATGTGGTCTAAATTCTGAAGCATGGATCACAAGATCCTCTGTATCAAGCAGAATGTGCTTCAATAAGGAACAACCCCCAAATCTCCACATCTTAAAACAATCCAGGATTATTGAGCACTCACACTCCAATCCCATCCCAGGTTGGTGGGCTCATACTCATTGTAGTTAGCCAGGTAGATGGAGCCTCCACCACCTATATCATCACTGGCTTCCAAAGCATGTGAAAGAGAATGCAGTGGGTTGCACGTGGGATCCCAAAGGCTTCCATTTGGCAGTGACAAACATCACTTTGGCTCACAGTTCAGTGACAGAGAAAGCAATGTGGCTGTGCCTAACTTCAAGAAAATGCAACCCTCCATGTGGGGGACAAATGGAAATGTACAGTGAGGAACTGTAACACATGGTCTATGACTTGGTCCCTGTCTACATCTCCGGGCTTATCTCAAGCCACTTCCTGCTTCCCACTCCCATTAGTTATATTTAAAAAAATTAGAAAAGAAAGATGAATATGAACCATAAAAAAGCATCTAAAATTCCACCACCCTAATGTAAACTGTTAGCCTTCCATATATTCCTCTTTTTCGTCCTTCTTATGTATCTACTCACCTATCTTCCTACCTACCTATCCAACCATCCACCCACCTACCTTTAACAGAAAGAGACTTATACTGAGAACACTGAATCTTGAAATGCTGTAAAATGCTTCTCTCATATTTGCTTTCCTGAAATCCTCATTCTTTCCTCTAATCATACCAGTACACAAACATCATCTCAGGCAAAACTGGAATGTTAATTTCTTCTAAATTGTATATGCAGGCACTACTACCCATCATTTTAAAACAGAAATGCACAGGTGGCATCCCATACAAGAAGCATCAGGTAAATTCTAAGTAGCTTGGAAGCCCACCTGCTCCCGACACCCAGGGCTTATAGTCAGAAAGACATAATTAAGAAAGCTACATACTCTTCTCCCATTTCTGGGGTACGAGTGCACTCACTGGTGGCACAGTTCACTGACACCTTCAATACAGCGAATCTTTTTGATCTATTCTTTATTAAGTTCTAAAATCTGTCTCAGTGATTGAGGAGTCTGCAAATGTAGAATCAAAGGGGCTGCTTGTTGTTATGCAACAGTGAACTCTAGTATGATTTTATGACTATAAATTAGCCAAGCATGACTCAGATGGGATAACGCCTGAAACCAAAGGAACCATATGGGGAGTGTGCAGTATTTAAACAGAGAAATGGAGAGATGTTGTCATCCTCAGCAAAGACACCAGAACCAGGCTGACCTGGAGCTACATCCTGGCATCACCACAACACTGGCAACTTGACTTCAGGGAAGCTATTTGAATATTCTGGGCTTCCGCTGCCTTATTTGAGAATGAACATAATAGCATTTGTCTCACAGAGCTAAAGATTAGATATAATATATATAAGGTATGGAGCACCCTAT